GCTTTCATACCACTTAAAATTTTTACTTAAAACTTTTTGAAGAACTTCTGCTAGAACAGGGGTAGACAAACTGACCTCTGAGCCAAATCTGGCCTGCCCCTATTCTTACACATAAAGTTTGGCTGCAAGACAGCCTAGCCCATTCATTTACTTATAGTCTGTGGCTGCTTTCATGCAACAATGGCAGAGATGAGTAAGTAGGACAAAGATGGCATGGCTTAAAAAGCCAAAAATAGTTATTACCTAACCCACCTCTGTTCTAGCTTTAGAGTCTAAATTCTAGACACATTTTAAAATCACATTTAATTTATACACAAGATTGACATACCTAAAATAAATGGCTTGTTTCTTTATAGTATGCAGAAATACATATATTTCTGGCCATTTCTCCAACAAATATTTGATTCACTAAATTCAATTTTTTGTCTTGCTAATATGTGTCTGCACCCTGTTCTTTCACTGCCAAATCAAGCTGGGACCCACTGGGAGGCTTCTCTGCAGGTCTTACCTGGGATCACTCATGGGGTCATAGTCATGGACGGTTCCAATAGGGCCTCACTCTCACATCTGTCAGCTGGTGCTGGCTCTCTGCAGGGGCACCTCAGTTCTCCTCCACATGGCTTCTCATCCTTCAGGCTTTAGTGGGCTTATTCACCAATACAGCTATTTCAGTATTGGCCCACATTTGGTTGAGCAGGCAGAAAGGAATGGATTCCTTACTTCTGCAAGCTTCAAGCAGATGTGGTACATTTACACAGCAGAATACTACACAGCCGTAGAAAAGAAGGAAATCTTACCCTTTGTGATAGCATGGACAGACCCGGAGATTATTATGTAAGCGAAATAAGCCAGTCAAAGAAAAACAAATCATCTCACTTATATGTGGTATTGAATTAATGAAATGAACTGACAAACTATGACCATACGCATGGACATATGGAACAAACTGACTGATCTCAGAGGGGAGGGGCATGGGGAAGACTGAAGGAGATCAGCCAGAGAACATATATGCTTATATGCATAGCCCATGAACACAGACAAAAATGTGGTGAAGGCAGGGATTTTAAGTCACCATAAATTTTACTAAAATTGTATTGGGAAGCAACTGAAGGATTTTAAGGAGGGACCCCCTGCCCAAGGTCTGTTTTATGTCTTTAGAATATCACCTGGGTCCTGACCAGTGTGGCTCAGTTAGTTTGGCCCATGGACACAGACAACAATGCAGTGAAGGCCGAGGGTGGAAGGGGGCAAAGGGGAAAATATGGGTGATATCTGTAGTAGTGTCAAAAATTAGAAAAAAGATACTGGTGCAGTAGATACATTTCAAAAGTTTCAGTCAGTTTCCACCTAATGTTTAACAGGCATCTCAATTCTAAAATATTCATAACTGAAGTTTTGAAATGACCACCCTCCCCCACCCTACTATTCTTCCAGTTTTCTCCATTGTAATAAATGGAACCACGTTCCATGCAAACACTCAAGCCCAAATCTGAAGAGTGACTCTTGACTCATCCCTTCTCCCTCACTACTACCAAAAAGAGCTGCCATTTCATCTCCAGAAAGTACCTCAAATTTCTCCATCTCTCTCCAAATACACACCTGCTACCCTAGGATAAACCTCCAGTCTCTCTTACAGGGGAGCAGGGTGATGCCCACCCCTGCTCCTATCTCCCTCCAAGCTATGGTCCATAAAGCAGCCCAAGTGATATTATTTTTATAAGATTTTACTTATTTTTATAGAGAGAAGGGAGAGAAAAAGAGAGGAAGAGAAATATTGTTGTGAGCAAGACACATCCATTGGTTGCCTATCATTCATGCTCCCCAACCAGGGACCAAACCTGCAACCCAGGCATGTGCCCTGGCTGGGAATTGAACTGGTGGCCTTTTGCCCTGTGGGATGATGACCAACAAACTGAGCCGTACTGGTCAGGGCCCAAGTAATATTCTAAAGACATAAAACAGGCCTCAGGAGGCCCCTCCTTAAAATCCTTTACTTGCTTCCCAATACAATTTTAATAAAATCCGAATTTCTTACGGTGGCTTAAAATCTCTGCCTGACCTTACTAATGACTAACATGGTAACCCATGCATTCTCAATAGGGGACAGTATTGCCCCAGAAAGGTAACAATTTCTCATAGAATGAGAAAGGTTTGTATGACATCAATGTAATCTAGCAGCCAAGGAGTGTAGACTGGAATGTACATGGGTGAACAATGACATCTTCGCTGTATTAGACAACAATGAGTGATCATTTGTACTGTGTGGATATCGCATTCGAAATGACTGAGCAAGTACAACAATGAATCTGCTTCAGATTTTGCCTTAGCTTGAACATTCCTCTATGGAAACTATTTGGATGATTCAGAGGCCACAGCTATGGCAGCTGGTGACTTGCAGTTTCATCACAACACCACACCCACTCTGCATGTCTCGTGCAGAGCTTTTTTGTGAAATATCAAATCACCCAGGTAACTCAGCCCCCCTATGGCCCAGATATAGCACCCTGCAACTCCTGGCTTTTTCCAAAGCTAAAATTACCTTTGAAAGGGAAAAGATATCAGAATGTTGATAAGATTCAGGAAAATACGATGGGGCAGCTGATGGTGATTAGGAGAACCCTGTGAGGTCCCAAGGTGGCTATTTTGAATGGAATGGAAGTGTCACTGCCCTGTGTACAATGTTTCCTATATCTTCTTCAATAAATGTCTCTATTTTTCATATTACATGGTTGGATACATTCTGGACAGATCTCATATAACACCTATGGAATTAAAATTTCATGGTGCAGATGATTAGAAGGAACATGTCTAAAAGGACTCCTGAAGGGGGCTGTAATAAAAAATGGTTGAGAAAACACTGTTGTAATTTCATATCAGGCCTCTATGCTTTATCTGCCAGACCAGTGTTACACAATAAATCTTTGTGCAGTGATAGAAATGTTCTGTAATCTGCACTGCCTAATACAGTAACCCTTGAACACTTGAAACGTAGCTACTGAAACAGAGGAACTGAATTTTTAGTTTTCACTAATTAAAATTTAAATTTTAATAGCCACATGGGGCTGCCACATTAGACAGCACAGCTTTACACATAATAACTGGTCTCCTTTTGATTCAAAGACGTGGAGTTTTGGTACATGCTAGGATGCTTTTCTATAACAACAAAAATTCTGAGTGAGTTGAAGAGTAAGAAAATATATTATTGTATTATATAAGAAGTCCAGATGTAGAGAGATTCCAGGATTGGCTAATTCAAAGACTCAGTGTCATTTGAATGCCAAATATCATGGATCCAGGTTCTCTGCATCTTCCTTCACTGTCATTCTCAGTGGATCCTTTAGGCACTGCCTTCGGGTTGTTTCCTAATGGTCACATTATGGCTGCAACTATGCCAGGCATCACACTTAAACCTAATGTTCAGAGAAAGAGAAAGCAGTTGTTTTCTGCTTCTCCATTTAAAAGTGAAGAAAACTCACATCTCATGAGCCAGAGTTTTATCATGTCCCTTTGTAAACAAATCACTAGCAAAAGAAATGGGACCACTACACATAGCTCAGATCCTGTAAAAGCCGTTCCCTGGGGTCAGACATGTCCCTGGTTCCTGAAATACATATCTCTAGGAGGTAACTGGATACCTAAACAGATGAAGGCTCTATAGGAAGGTAGAGACTTCATCTTATGTTGGGGTGGAGAACATGAAAGGAGAACCTTAGCCTCTTTACTACGTAGAGCTAAACTGAACCTGCTGAGAATGTCCCAGTGCCAGTGGTTCTCAAAGTGTAGTGCCTGCACCAGCAGCATCAGCATTACCTAGAAACTTTTTAGAAAAGAAAGTCTTCAGATTGCACCAGACATGTTGAGTTAAACTTTGGTGGTAGTAGCCAGGAAAATGTGCTTTAACACGCCTGCCAAGCAATTCTGATGAGAGCCACTGCCCTATACTCTGATTCTCAATCAGAGGTGGTTTTGTCACAAGGGGACATTTGGCAATGTCTAGAAACATTTTGTTTGTCACAGCTGGGGTATGGAGTGCCACTGGCATGTAGTGGCAGAGGTCGAGATAATGCATAGACAGCCCCACAATAAAGAAGTGTCTGGCCAAAAATTTCAGTAATGCCAAGGTTGAGAAACTCTGTCCTATGCTATGAGGCACAGTAAGTTCCTTTAGAGGGGCCGCAGTCACCTAGCTCTCGATATTGGATTTGGCTCTTTGAACCTAGTTGGGACAAGGATTAGTATGCCTTAACCACTCGCAGAGCAGAATAGGGTCTGGTTAACTCTTTAAGCAACAAGTCTTCAGGACTTCAAGTCACTCAGATGAGCCCCAGGGCTCTTACTCAAGTATCTATCTCTGACAAAACAATAAACAGGACAATGTTTATCTTCAGAACTGCCCCCCGCAAAAGACCATATTTTATAAATGGCACAGTCAATACATGCATTGATGTTTCAGAACTGGCTTTTATGGGGGCCCAATTCCTTTCTTAGAAGGTGGATAGGCAAACTTTTTCAACGCTTAGGAATTTTTCTGTTCATATGAGATAAGCAAGTCTCCACTGTTTTCTACTGTCCAGTTCTGCCACCAGAGAGCTTGTGGGTCAGGAGATAGAGATCATATATCAAGTTCTAATCTACATTTCCTATACAAGATGCAGGCAAGAAACCTTGCATCTCCGTGCATAGGATTTCTCTTCATGAGCATTTAACATTAGAAGAAAGTAGCAAATCACATCAGAGTAGGTAAGGCCACAGTCAGTTCAGGTCAGCCCCATCTCATATTAACTGTATTTTCAAATGTCTTACCAGTGCAGCTTGTTCTACTATGACCTCTTCTGGCATTTATCTAAGATAACACATTTCTGGAAATGGGTGTGCTGATAAAGTTTACTTATATTATGTTCTATCATTTCAATCATATTTAAGTTCTGGATATTGTGTTTACATACAGAACCCAGTATATTCCTGGGAGAAATTTTTTGAAAAACAAAACCAAAACAGGATACAATTAATATGGTAATTGGGTAGCTCAATGAACATCTGGCTTCTGTGACATCTCCTCTGGGATTTTAGAGTGAACTGTATCCAGGGGCTGCCAGTGGCAATTCATGAGAGAGTCGTAGAGTTCTTCACTTTTCACCATAAACTCTTTGTTTAATTCCTCAATATTCAAATGAAGATTGGGATCTGCAGAAGTCAATAATGCATATAAAAATAGAATTTGACAGGATATATATTAGAAATGGCTTACAGTTTTTAAAAAAAAATAGCAGGAAATATTGCAGACAATGTTAACATTTTTAAATTGTGCTTCATTTCAATAAGACTTGAAAAACAGAAGTTGAACCTAAAAAAGAAATAGTACTACCAGACTTAACGAGCACCTAGATGGTGATTGAGGAGAAAATGGATCGAATCAACAGGCACTATTTGGAAATGGAGTCAATTTGGGGTAAAGGAGAAAGGTGGGGAGTGGCCAAAGATGACTCCTGAGTTTCTGGCATGAGCGCTTGGGTGGATAGGAGCCAAACAGTGAGCCAGGACCAAGTGCCTGACAGGACTTGGAAAAAGTAACTATGCCTTTTTATCTGCTTAGTTAACAGATTGATATATGAATGACTTATACACAGCAACTACCAGTAATGTAGAAAAAGAGAGGAATTTGGCCTTACTTCTCTGAAACCTGGAACCCTGTGATGAGAAGGTAGTGTTATGTTATCATGAAAGCATCAGACCTAGATATTCAAACTAACAGGTTTCCAACACCACTGACTCTTTGAATATATTCTATTTTTTCTCCTTGTATTAAATGTAACTGACAAACCTCAGTTACACTTCTCTTTCCCCTTATAAATTTTGCAAACCTCAGCTCATTTAGGGTCATAATTTGCTTCCTAATACTCACATGCGTGCATGCTATTCATTTGTATTTATTTATATGCGTGTTATAAACAGTTTGTGCCCCCCCCCCAAAAAAAATCACATTGAAATCCTAACTTCAGATTTGATAGTATTTGGAGGTGGGGTCTTTGGGAGATAACTAGGATGAGATGAGATCATGAGGGCAGGGCCCTACCTCCATGGGATTAGTGCCCTTATAAAAAGGACACCAGAGATCGTGATCTCTCTTCCCTCACTACATGAAGGTATGAAAAGGTGTCCATCTGTAAGCCAAAAAGAGAGCCCTTACCAAAAACCGGATCAGCTTGCATCTAATGTTGGACTTTCCGCTGTCCAGAACTATGAGAAATTTTCTGTTGTTCAAGCTGCCCGATTTGTGGTATTTTGTTATAGCAGCCCAAATTTACTAATATGATATCCTTCTATATTTATCACTTTAGAACCAAGTTCATGGAATGGCCCCTGCCCTTAAGTTTCATGAGCTACTTATTTGTCTTCACTAGAGTCATGTGTGACTCTTTTGTCTGATTCATGTTCTTTAGAAATTCTCATCCCTTTTGAAGTATCGTTCCTTTGAGAGCAAGGTATCACAAAATTAGATATTTCTAGTTTCCCCCTAAACTTTCTGAAATTTTCTTTCCTAAAGTCATGCTCCAGAGTCCTTTCTGTCATTGTCATGGGCAGTTGTTTGCTAAAAAGCTTCTGACTTTGCATGTTTCTGGTTGGGGGATAGATGTCAGGACCACATGCTTATGAGCATCTCTCTCCTGTAACCCGTGGCCTAGAAAACAAATGTCAGCTAGGAACCACAGATTAATGATCTAGGCCCTTCCAATGATATTGCTATTGGGGTAATAGTAGCCTATAAAAGACAGATGAATTATCTTTTCTAAACCTGTGGGCTCTCTTGACATATGCTGTCCAATACAGTAGCCACTAGTCACATGTGGCTGTCGAACACTTGAAGTGTGGCTAGGCCTAGTTGAAATGTGATATAAATATACACTGCATTTTGAAAACCTGGCATTAAAAAGTACATAATCTCATTAAATTTTATATTGATTACACGTTGATATAATATTCTGAATATACTAGATTGAATTTAAAATATTTAAATTAAATTTTCCTGTCTCTATTTTTTGAATTTGGCTACTAAAAATTTTAAAACCACCTATGTGGGTGGATTTGTGTTTTACATTACACTTCTACTGGACAGAGCTGCCCGATCAATGAATAACTAACACTTGAGAGGTTATTCTGTGCCAGTCTCTGTTAGAACTCTCAAAAGCACTTTAGAGGTATTTTCCTCACACTTAGTATGAGGTAAGTTTTAAACCCCATTTGACAGGTGGGGATGCCAGTGCACTGGAGGTTAATTTGTCTGGCACTACACAACTTGTAAAAGAGATCTGCACCCCGGCAGTCTGGATCCAGAGAGCACAGTCTCATGGTATGCCTTTCTCTGTCATTTTTTAGGCCATCTAAAAAAACAGTAAAAGCCAGGAGGACAGACTCACTCATTAACCAGAATGAAATCCCCCTGAGAGCTGGAATCATTAGATCACACACCAATCGCATTGCAAAGTACTAAAAACTAGAACCGCCCCATAGCATTCGAAGATTTCTTTTAAACATCAATTTCATTCTATTTAAACATTGGACACCAACTAACACGGAGACTTGGTGTTGGTTACTGGGACTACAAAATGGATGCTCCCATCGTTTATAAAATGACAAAAGCAGTGGGTTGGTTCGTCTTGTGGGGGTGGGGAGAGGGTTGAGGAAGAGACCAGACAGGCATGTGATAAGACAGTTGACAAGAAACAGACAAAAGTGTTCTCTGCATTTTATTTCTCTTTCCCATAACTTAAAATAAATAAAAGAAGACAAATGTTTTCTTCTTTTTGAATAAGACACGTTCCCCGGGCAGGTACATTTTGGTCTTTTCAAGACAGAACAAGAGCTACATGAAGAAACTCCTGGCACTACAGGGGGGAACTGCTGGGTCCTCCAGGAACCAACACCCCCGAGGGAAGCTAGGAAGTCAAGGCCACAGTGATTGCCTCATGCTTTTCTCCTTAAAAATCAAAATTAAAGCATAATTAATCCCAAAGCCTAAACTTATGGAGGAAACAGATCTTTAAAAAAATCGACTTATTGTTTTTTTGAAAATGCCCCCTTTTCCCAGTCCTTGAGAAAGACCTGTTCTCACAGAAACAATTTGCAAAAACTAGATGAATTACTAAAGAGAAAGGCTTAGGCAACCATGTTGGTATTTTCCAGGAGGATCTCTAAGTTTCTAGCCAGCTAAGTGAATGAGGAACCCAGAAATCGGGTTAGGTTTGTTTTTAACTACTTGTGCTTTAGCAACACAAGTTTTATGTTACCTTCTAATAGGTCTTCATCGTGGTTTTCCACCAGAGCTGTGGTTTCCTACAATGAAAATCAGTATTTTAAGGAAAAAAAATTTATTTAAGGCTTACTATCACACATGCTTTCTTAGAAAAACCTAGCTCCCCAAAGTAATATCTAGAACACTAAACTTTCTTTAGATCAAATTTATTTTCAAACTTGGATTAGAAGACTCTTTGAATGATATAACTTTACAATTATTAAATGAGTGAACTGGGTCAACAGAAGAAAACCCACAAAGGAGCAGCAAACCTGACAAAGAACTCTGGGCTCTCTGAAGCTTCTGAGAGCTAACTGGCATCCAAGAGCCTGGGATAGGAACCAGCCCCCAGGGACCCTGAATCCAGACTCCGTAGTCCATGTACTAGATGCCCAACTCTCTACCTGGAGCTCTGCCCTACCTTCCAGATGATAACTGCAGAGGCTCTATGAGCACATTCCCCTCATGGCCTTCTAATCACATCCCAGCTCTATGGTGCAGTTAAGGACCAGAATAAGAAGTGCTTAAGGAAATGCAGAGGCTACAGAAAAGCAAACCAATGAACTATCCTCTGACATAATGAGAGCTAAATTCCATTTCCTCCTTTTCAATGTGTGATCTGGTAAATGTGGATCCTAAATTACCAGGGTGTGTGGAACGGAACCCGTCTGGAGACAGACCATTCTCTCTAGTCTGAGGTTTACCTGGGCAGTGTATGCGGTTGTTTGTCCTCAAAGAAGGGGACAGCTATAAATGGTTTTCCTGTTAGAAGCAGTTTGGGCAGATGGTGCTGGTGAACCCCCAAAAATCTGAGAATCATTTTGAAGATACCTACTTTTAAATTTAAGACATAAGGTCAAAGTGGAGTGTCTAACCCCTTAACTTGGGGAGACAAGGGTGTACTACTGTGGGGCAATGAAACTATCACATCTCATAGAGGGCGCACTTTATTAGGGAAGACTCAAGTGAGGATGTGTGAGTCAAAAGACCCAACAAAGAGCTTTATCATCTTGAATTTTGTGACCAGCTTCATAACCAGGGGCTCCCACCAAGACAGCAGGCAGGTGGCACAAGTATGGTAACCAAAGAGAATATATTTATAATTCCTGAATGAAAAACTGATTATAGTAATAATTTGACTAGAGGGTGAAATATTAAAAACAAAATGTGTCAATGAAAATGGGGAGAGGAGGGAAAGGGTAGCAGAGAGAAAAAAGTGTTAATGTCTTAATTTTTCATGAGTGGGGAAATATTTTCATTTCTGGAGTGGTTAATACACTCAAACCTATACTTCTCTATTTAAAGATATAAAGGTAACTACTAGACGTCAGATAGACCACTTCTCCTTTCTCAAAAAAGGGATAAAATGAAAAAAGTGCTAAAACCTCAGGCAATGTAGCAAAAGTTTTTTTTAGGAGATAAACAAGCACTTGCTAAAAGGGTAAAACCCAAATTGAATTTAAAAGCAAAAAAGCTGGGAAGTCTAACAATATAGTTTCTCTATGAAGCACACCTGAAACAAACTTGAAAAAATGAAAAGGTTTGGGGGGGAAAATCAAGCGAATGAAAGTTTTAAAATCAGTGATTAACTATTAAATTCAACTCTCGTGTAAAAGCCAAGGCCATCGCAAAAAAAATGTCACTGTGCACATTAGGAAAAAAAAACTGTGGAGAAAACTCTGTAACACTTTGACTGCAAAGTGCTAATTTCCCTACGAAAAAGGGGCACAACACAGCAGAAGGCAGACAAAAACATCAACTGACTCCAAAGGTATTGTGTGCAAAATATATTTGCCTTCAATAATAGGCAAATGCCTTCCACACTTGTCCAATTGGCTAATCACACAGAATAACAAACAAAACAAAACGGAGAAGCAACCACACCTACAAGACCAGTGGAAAGTGTAAACCCAGGCAGGCTTTTTGGTAAACTGCTTCTTAAAATTGCAAATGTTATATCCTTTAATCCAGATTTCCTGCTTTCAGAAATTTTTCTTAGCCAAAACAAACAAACAAACAAACAAACAAACCCCACTCAAATGCCTGGAGATAAGGCAAAGAAGTTAAGTGCCTTAAATTAAGGCACTGAGAACATTTAAAAGGTCAGTCAATAGGGATGAGCTAAAATCACAGCATACCCACATGGGCAGCCTTTAAAGGAAGCTCTCCTGATGCAACCTACATGCAGAAGCAAGAAGCAAACAAGTATATAATACTACACAGTCCATTCCTGTCCAAGGCACTCCCAGCTCCCCCAAACAAATAAAGCCCAATCATGCTAATGCAACAAGAGTAGAGGGGGAAAATCTAGAGGACAAGATCACTTAAACTGCGTTTTCTTCTTTCTAAGTGGAGAGGAGATGGGGAAGTCGAGTAGTGAGCCGGGAGGCCTTCCCTCACTCCAATACATCTTTGTGTGGTTTCAGAAATAGGTTACTTTAGTAATCAAAATAGTAAAGTATCTTTTACAAAGTGTGTTAATATTCATTGCTGTACCAAAACAATACAAAAAACCCAATAACTCCTTCTGTCTTATTTTAAGTGTTTAAGAATAAAATCTACTGAAAGATGATAATCTACAATTTAGTAACCAGAATTTAGGCACAAGACTTCATCAGCCTATTTTGTTTTTGGAAGACAGTGAGGACTTAGGGTCGTTTGCAAGTCAGAATTTCTTAGATCATCAGTTGTTACTCTCTGGTATTAAAACAGGGAGCAAAAGCCACTGCTGTGGGAATCTGATTGGCAGTATGTGGAGATTGTGAAGATAGAAAAAAGATGTTTCCAAGTTGAGCACACAAACAATACAGGATTCATTTCACAGGGTGATACCTCAGGCATAACTGCAGTTTCGGTTGGGTGTCCAGAGGTCCCACGTGCAGAAAGGTTGTATTCATTTCCATTCACTGTGAAACCACAGCTGTAGCCGGATAAAGGACAACAGTTGTGCTGTTGTTCCTCATACCAGTTGTTAAAGGGGTAACCCTGGTGGGGCTGGAACTCCTGCTTCACTCTAGGCAGAGGGGAGGGCAACAACGAGAATAACATCACCAACCCAGGCAGCAGAATCATTCAAAAACACAGGGCTCTTTCTCCTTCCCTAGAAGTTAAGAGTAAGTATGATGTCTGCTTTAACTGTTCAAGAACACCCATTTTTAAAGCAACAGTTTGTAAATTGCCAAAAATTATATAAGAAATGAACACAAATAGCCTTCGTTTTCATTTGGAGTAGGAAAAACACCTCACCTTTGCCAGTACCAGTAATAATGATTTTGTTGAGCTACGTCAAAACCTGTAAAGCTCTCCTGTCCGGCCATTTAACCAGAAACTCAATAAAATGAGATGAGGAATCCACAGTTTTTACTCCTGAGTCAGAATTTCCAGGTCCAGGGCTAACACCTCTCTACCTGACAAATAACTCTCACAACTGCCTCAGGGAGCAGCAATTCCTGCTTGGCAATTTAACTGTTCGACTTTCAGGTTAATGGGGTTAAGGCCTGGGTGGGGGCAGGAGCGCAGAGAGTCACCTGGGGGAACTTCAGCAAATGGTTCAGCAAACCACCTGGCTTTGAGTTGTCGGGCTTGGGGAAGCTCGCCAGAGCCCAGGGGGATGGAAGGGTAATTTGCGTTGGGCAACTGAGGACAACTGGGCAACTGGGAAGTCTCCACCACACCTATGTAAGACAGTCACTTTTAATGTAAGACAAATACGATAGTTTGATGCTTCCCTTTTCAGTTCAGCTGTCTGTAAATAGAAGTGGCACATAGTGGACTTTTTTTTTAGTATCTCCTACAAGTTGAAATCATCTCAACTTGCTGGTGGGAAAAACTAGTACATCTTACACACACACACACACACACACACACACACACACACACACTCCCCTTAATTCGAGTACAGAAAAAAGAAAAAGAAAAAAAATCTGTGACTCAGTATTCTTTTTTTTTTTTTTAGAGAGCACAATAAGCTTCCAAACTTCAATGCGCATTTGCATTGCCTGTGCATGTTGTTTAAAATGTAGGTTCTGATTCAATAGATCTGGAGGGGAGCCTCTGATTCTGCCTCTCTAGCAAGTTCCCATGCACTTTAAGTAGAAAGGCTACATAAAGTGTCAAAATTGAAGATAATTTTTGAGTTTAAAAAGGAATAGTTAGGGTTTGGCAATTTTGCTAAAGCTTGTTAACAACTACTCTACTGTTAATGAATTATTCCACTATTCAAGTGCTTGATGTATTCTGTATATATCTGTAAGAAGAAAAATAATAATCATGATGAGTTTAAATCATTTACCCATTATTTGCTGAGCCCCTACTAGACACAAAGCAGGGTGATTGACACTGGTGATATAGTGGAGCTTATATTCTAGTGGATTTCTTCATGTCTTCAAGGGAGATGTCACTGATTAGCCGCTGTGACACAGATTGTTGGGTGCCACCCAATTTTGTTTCCTTTTCTTCCTTAATAACAGAACCCTGAATAAATTCAGGGGCAGTAACAGGGCTCCTTAAAAGACTATATTTCCTAGCTTCCTGCTCCCAGGGAGATGTGGCCAGGTGGCCAAAATCTGGTTAATGAGATGTAAATAAGAACTATTATAAGGAGATTGAGTAAAATTGTATAAGGAGTTTGCTTAGCTGGAAGGCTTTTTGTCCTCCACCCTCTCCCCAAGCCTAGTGCTGGGCTGGAGGCAAAATAACTCTGCACCTATCTTGGCCTATGAGATATTAAGGAATATGTAATGCATGCAAATGCAGGACTGGATAGAGAGAACAGGCCTGTGTCCCAATGACTATGGACTAACTCCCTGTACCAGCCTGACTGGCCTACCTCCAGATTTCTTTTAAGAAATAAATGTCTTGTTTAAGCACCTACTGTTTTAAGTTATATGAAGTTAAACACAATTCTTAACTACTGTAACAACTTAGACATCAAGTAAAACATAGCTTAAGAATTATCTTTTTTGTAAAAACTTTAATGTTGTAGTTTTTCCCCTTCTCTTATTTTTGGACTTTTTTTTTTTTTTTGTAAAAACAAAATCAGAATTTGGGCTATGAATGGGTGAGAGATGAAGTTGTAGTTGGAAAGGATTGTGGGAGTTGGTCATTGATAATAAGGTTAGGTAAGGAGGCTGAGAAAGGGAAAGACCAACGTAGCATGTTAAAATCACCCAGGGGGTCAGGGCGGGCAGACCACCTAGAAAGATGACAGGAGCTGAGGCACAGAGGACCATGAACAAGGCTCCAGAGATGAAGATAAATATTCAAGGGTTTTGTAGATGGGAGTGACAAGAAAGCGTTCACAAATATTGTTTTGCTTTCTCAAAGCTTTAAATTCAAACCTCATATTTCACCTGGATTAGTCCCATGAAGGAGGTGAAGCAAACTTTTATCATGGTAGGCCACTGGTCAGTGTCCAGGGGAAGGAGTCCACTCTGTCTGCTTTCTTCAGCTCTATGTGTAAAGGAGGCCAAAGTCCTCTGGAATATAAGCAACATGTAACCTCTGCAGTCCTAAAACTTAACAGACTTGATATCTGTTACACTGAGAAAGAATTGGGCAGGAATGTTAGACTCACATGCTACTTTTAATAAGGCTGGTTTTTCTGCACTGTATCCTGCTTTCAGCCCCGTATATCCACTTCACCACCTCCCCTACCCATTGCCACCCCCCCACCCCCCAAAAAATAAGCTGGCTGTTTTTACTTTAGCAAACAAAAGCCAGGCACTCAATAAATATGTTGAAAGAATGAATAAATAAATGCATGACTTAAACATAAAAAGCTTTCAATCAGTAATTTAAAAGCAAAACTAAAAACCCTGTTGTATTTTAGTGTTAATGAACTGTGAACAGTGGTTGTTTCTTGGCAACTGCACTTTTCAGAAGAGATTAAATAGCTTCTTATATTCTGTTTGGAAAAGGGAGCAGGAAGTATGTTCAGTTTGAATCCAGTTGAACAGGCATATAATTTTGTATTGTTTTTCTTTAGACAATGAAAAGCCACTGTTCTGTTAAAGAGAATGTACGCAAGGAAATAGAAAAAGCAGCAGCAGCACTAGGTTTACTGTTACTTACTTGTGTGGTTTTCAAAGAGTTCCTCTTCTGGACCTATTTCAGCATTTATAACAGGCTCCATTAGTGTATTTTAACTTTAATGAGGCCCTAATCTTTTTCAAAATATGACAAAATTTTATCAATGCTCTTCTGCAAAAATGTACATACATGCCCTGGCTGGTGTGGCTCAGTGGATTGAGTGCTGGCCTGTGAACCAAAAGGTTGCAGGTTTGATTCCCAGTCAGGGCACATACCTGAGTTGTGGGCCAGGTCCCCAGGAGGCATGTGAGAGGCAAACACACATTTATGTCCCTCTTCCTCTTCCTCCCTTCCCCTCTCTAAAAATAAAATCTTTTAAAGAAATGTGCATACACAATTGTGTATATAATTTCAGGGGATTTGTTAACTCCCTAGGAGTAGAAACACCTGAACTACATGCTAAGGTCATCTGGGCTCTGTAATTGGTTCCAGTAATTGTTGACAGGAAAAACAAAAAGAAAAAAGCAAACCACTTTGAGTTATATTTATGTTGCTTACACTATGGTTTTCATTCTATAACCAGCTATACTATAAAAGATTGGAGCAAAAAAATTTTTCCAGCCACAAGATTCTTCTCTAAAATGTCCAATACTTAAGCAGGCAAAAGTATGGCCATCTAGTAATATGTGCTGATTATAGTAATTATCCTGTTATAGTAATATGTTAAAATTTTAATTTTTAAAAAACGTTAAATGAGTACTAACTCTTCACAAATAATAGTTGAGACTTCCCTGGGGGTAATGAGGCAGGGCTCCAGGGGCATTCCAGAAGCAACAGAATATACAAAACACGGATTTTCAAACAATTTTATTCAGTTTGTTTTCTTTTTGGATGAGAGAAAATTACTTTCACATTAACAAGTGGATCACAGGGTAAAATGCAAAAAGTTCCCTTTTTTTAAGATAAAATATGAGACTTCAAAGAAATGTCCTGCTTACTCATTCTTTGTCACATGCCAAAGGGACACCCACTCAAGCAATTCACATTCCTGACCTTAGTGGTTCTTTGGAGATAACAGTTAAGAAACAAATAGGAAATAATTAAAATAATAAGGTACCTTAACATTTTGTAAGATATTTAGCACAAGGCAAAGGAGTTGCTATAAAACAGCGAATGACTACGCTGATTTTCCAGAGACTGAGAATTAACTATTTCAGTGCCTAGGGAATGTTTACCTGTGGAATCGCCAGTGCGCAGAAAGAAGTCAAGGCCTTTCTTGTGCTATGACACCAAAGAAGCTAAAATGAAATCATTTGGGTAATATCCAGCATCAAATAAAACAAAACGTACTTGTTAAGCACGAATAATGTACCGACAAAACACCAGAGAACAAATGTTCTTGGAAACAAAGGGGTGTGCTACAGAAGTAGCACTAAGTGGGGTCTGAAGAATGGACCTTGACGAATGCCTCTACCTCCTGCTTGAAAAATCGACCTGCGGTGGCGTTTACGTGACGAATTACACATTCCAAGATGAACTCTGTGGTTTGTGCGAACATGTCATTTTAACACATCCCTGAATCTCCAAACCCCATGAGAAATCTCCAACGTCAATTAAAGCCATTTCGCTTTTATTAACGTTTGACTTTGCAACTAAGCTGGGCAGGTGGTGAACATGAGATTTCCTACTTGAATGCTCACAAATGGTTGCGCCTTTTCTCCTCCGCTGGTCAACTGGACCCTAGTGTTAGAAAAGTGAACCAAGCTGGAAGGAAAGGTGTGCACGGCAGGATTACCGGGCCTGAGCAGGCCAGACGAGGCGAAGGGAACCAACTTTCAGGGCCGCCTGCTCTGGTAATCGCGAAGGCCAAATCTCACGCCCTCAGCGCCCTGCCAACACACAATGTGAGAAAAACAGGCCCATTCCACTGTTTGTTGCACAAAAAGGAAACGCGACTCCACGGCGTGTCCCAGCTCGCAACAGCGAGCCGTACACAATCCAACAACTGAAAGCGGCCAGGAGCCCCAGGCCCCGGAGCCCAGGCCCCGCCCCCACCGGAAGCGGGCTCGCCAGCTCCTTAGGTGTCACAGAAATGAGGGGCTTCCGCGAGGAAGTCCCGCCCACTCCCTTAGACGTGCCTAACTCAAGGCTTCCTAGAATATGCCTGCTCATCCCCATTTTTTTTCTCACAGCAATGAGAACCTCTTCATGTGATCTCCTTTCTTATTCTCCGCTTGAAAACTGAGTAATTTCAAGCTCTGAAACCGCTTCTGCCGATGCAGGCTCCTAAAAGGCAGTCCTGCGGCATGACGTCTATTAAGCGCCAATGGAGGAAGGACCCTTTTCCTTTTGCACCTGTTTTAGTCTCCGCCCCTCACGCTGAGCGTGGCCTGCTGAAAGAGGCACACGTGCTTCTGAATGGAGCTGGTTGCTGGTTGCTACGAGCAGGTCCTTTTTGGGTTCGCTGTACACCCGGAACGCAAGACTAGTGGTGGCTACGAGGTAAGAGCTGATTTGCGGGACGGCCGGAGGTGTGGACAGGGGAAGGTCAGGCCTGGTTCCTGCACGGCTAGCGTGAACATAAAACCAGAAGTGAACACACCGTGGGATTTCTTAGGGATTAATTGACTTGTCAAACTCAGGAAACACGTATAGGTTAGCTCTTTAGTGCATGGAGCAGGCAGCCCTGGCTGGTGTGGCTCAATGGATTGAGTGCCTGTCTACAAACCAAAGAGTGTCCGGTTCGATTCCCAGTTAGGGCACTTCCCTAGGTTTCCGGCCAGGTCTCCAGGAGGGGGCGCGCAGGAGGCAACCACGCGGTGATGTTTCCCTTTCTTTCTCCCTTCTCTAAAAATAAGTAAATAAAATTAAACGAAAAACACGGAATAGGCAATTCATAAAAGGAGATAATGCCTGTTACGACTAGGGGCACATTTTTATGACTACAGTGCACAAAGAAAGATGGCATTTCTGTGAAGGAGCAAATGAGTTGTAGTTTTATGTATTTAAGGGTTACTGCCATAAATTGACAGTCAGTTTAGATATTTGCTCTTTCACTGAATTTGTCCTGGAGTTTTTACAAAATATTTTTTTACGAAATATTAGAGATGGTTCAGGATTAACACCAGCTCATTATTGGATCCTTACTGTGGGGCATTACTAGCAACGAAGGTGGAAAGAAGCCAAGGACATGGATCCCGTGCTAGATACCTTTCCAGCATGAGGGGGTGAGGACTGGAAGACAAATGCATGGAAAGAAATTACAACAAAATACAAGTATTTTATGAGATGTATGAGTAAAAAAGTAAATTGTCTATAGTCAAACAGGGTATTCCCAGGACTAGAAACAAGATATTTTAGTTTAGGACTATTTTTTTTTTACCTTAGCAATCCTAGGTATCTCTTAGAAACCTATTTCATTGAGGTTCTTTTCTTTCTTTCTTTTTTAAGAAAAGCAATCTTTTTTTTTGAGATTTATTTTTAGAGAGAGGGGAAGGGAGGGAGAAAGAAAGAGATGGAGACAAACATCAATGTGTGGTTGCTTCTTGCACCCTTTACTGGGGACCTGGCCTGCAACCCAGGCGTGTGCCCTGACTGGGAATCAAACTGGGAACCCTTTGGTTTTCAGGCTATCACGGAATCCACTGAGCCACACCAGCCAGGGCTCATTGAGTGTTTCTTAATGGAGAAATCAAGGTGTCAGTCTTGAATTAACCAGAAAATTAGTAGTATGTGTTTTGATTCTCTGCTTTTGCTTATTTTCTTCTCTGTTTATTAGTCTGCCTTTGGTTGAAAGGTGACATGTTTTGAATATTTAAAGATGATGCTACTAATTGTGTTCTCTTAGTAATAATGTTATTTACCACATTCCAGATACATGTAGACTCACAGCAGTCCTCTGAGGCAGATATAAGTATACTCATGTTGGAGATGAGGAACCGGACATTGAGATACATTAAGTGACCTGCTCAAGGCCATACAGCTAAAATTTAGTAGACCTGGAACTCAAATCCCCAGTGTCTCTCACATATGAAGCTCTTAACCATTAACCAATACTGCTTCTACACCTGCACAGACTGTAGCCTAGATAACCAACATTTCTTCTGTAATACTGATTTAGGGCCATATTTGCCCCCCAAGGAATGTTGTGTCTTTACTCAAAAGAGGTTCCCTAGGTTTTTATTGACAGAAGCACTATTTCTTGCTATTGTTACTTAAGAATTAATTTACAACAACACATTATAAGTATGTTCAAAGAAATCAGGTGGGTTTTTTCTTCTTTGGTTTGTTTTACTAATACTTTTTGATGCATGTCCTTCAAATTGGGACGTGTGTGCATCCGTTCTTTGCACTCAACCAGTCACACTTCTCCAGTCTGAAAGTTACATGTCAGTGAGTGTAGAGTTCTCGAAACTTCATCATTAGTCAATTTCTTGGGCTTATATTGGTACTGATGGAAACATACTACTAATCCTGTTTATTTCCCATTATAGGATTTGTCATTATAGTTATCTGTATATAGTTATCTCTTCCTTATTTGTTTTAATCTACATATCATGGGATAGTTTTTTCTCCTGTAAGATCCACTGGTAGTTTGTAAGATCCACTGGTAGTTTTCATGGGACATGAAACCATTTATTTGTTTCTGGAGAACTATGACATGGTTGTGACAATTATGTGGTTTACTCTTCAGCAGAAATGGACTTCTGTGGCTGACTTCACTCACCATGCCCACACAGCCTGCTTGTCAGCGGTGGCTGTAAATAGTCGTTTTGTAGTCACTGGAAGCAAAGATGAAACAATTCATATTTATGATATGAAAAAGAAGATAGACCATGGAGCTCTGGTGCATCATAATGGTAAGAAATGATATCCTTTCAGATAATAATGTTGAAGTATCACTACTTTATAATTTGACTTCAGTTGCACAATTCAGTAATCAGATTCTGTGCTAGGAAATACAGAAATGAGAAAAACATGTTGTTCTTTGTTCTTAAGGTATTCACAGTCTGTATTGGAAGACAAAAGAATCACTTAACTCGGTCTGGAGGGAAAGGGGAGGACGTGAATTTTCACTGAAAACTTTCTTAAAATGACATCTGAATTACCTTGAAAGAGAAGTACTAGCCCTGGGTGGTATTGCTCAGTGGATTGGGTGCTGACTGGCAAACTGAAGAATCACCTGTTCGATTCCCACTCAGGGCACGTGCCTGGGTTGCGGGCCAGGTCCCTGGTAGGAGGTGTACGAGAGGCAACCACACGTTGAGGTTTCTCTCCCTCTCGTTCTCCCTTCCTTCCCCTCTCTCTAAAAATAAATAAATAAAATCTTTAATATCAGAAAAGAAATAGCATCTGTTAGCCAAGTGAAGTTTGCAAAGAGGGAGAGGGTATTCCAGGGAAAACAGGCAGCACAAGGACTACAAGCAGCAACATCATGTTGACAGCTGCTTTTCCTGAAGGAGTATCATATACCAGCATTGCCAAAAAGGTACACTTGTATTTTCAGTTTATAGAAGAGAAACCGTAGTTCAATGATATTATATAACTTGCCCCAGGTTACAAAACAATGAAACTAGAACTCGAACCTAGGCCTAGAGCCCATGTTTTTAATCACAGGCGTACATGGGGAACTGTAAGCAGGTCAGTGTTATGAGAAGGGTAAAATGAAGGTTGAGGTGGCTGGAGAAGTAGATGGGGCCAGATTCTGGTGGTCCTTGAAGGAGCAAGGAGATAGGTCCTTGAAGGTCCTTGTTATGAGAAGGAGATAAGGAATTGACTGGGAAGGAGAGTGATCAAGGTTTGAGGACAGCGCTGGCAGTTAGGGTATGAAAGAGATGCTGACTAACAACAAGCAAGAGGACTGATGAGAGCCGCCCACTTGAATTTGGAGGCTGTGGATTTAGTAACATCGTTTTGCAGTAAGCTGTAGACATTTCTATAGAGCAAGGAAAGTTATTTGGTTTGTGAGGAAGGATTAAATTAGAGAGGAATTAGGATTTTGGTGAAAATAGGTTTTTGGCCTAGAGACAATGGGTTGTTAAGGTCTGTAGATCTCTGAAATAAGAAAGCAGGTAGAGTGTGATTGATGGTAGGCATGAAAGGGCTGGCAAGATGTGAAGTCGGGTCAGAAAATAGATTCTTAGGGTTCAAGAGTTCTGATGCGGAACAGCTCTGGACAGTAACAGTATCCAGGCTGTGGGTGTAAGGATAAAATACAGAGAAGACAAAGGTCACTAGAGATGAGGAAGGCAAGAGATAGTGATTCTCAAGTAAATAGTGATTCTCCACACAGATGATACATTGCCTAGTATAGTGGCAGGATCAAGAAATAGACTGAACAGGTAGTTTTGTCTTTTTTTCCTCAGTATTGAACATTATATACTATTGTCATTGCATTTTCCCAGGAGACAAAGAATGAGGGGTTTAACATGTATCTGAGAAAAGGGAAAATTGGAAAGGAAGAACTCAAATTAGTAGAGTCAATTAGATATGTACTTAGTTTAGGGAAACTCAGCCATGGAAGTTGTTTGCCTGCAATTAAAGGTGGGTAAGACAGGTACCTTTTTTTCCTATCCTGTCTTCATATATTTCAGAAGTTCCACCCCAAGCACTGGTGTCTAGCAGTAAATTAGAAGTGATCAATTCTGTCTTTTATTAGATGGTCCTTTACTGCTTTGAAAAGTATCTTTTTTTCTTCTTGACAGAAGAATTTTGACAGAAAAATATCTTCTTTTCTATTTGACAGAGAATTTTGACAGAAGCTAGGCTTTGAGTCATTGTAACATACATTTCTTTTCCTATGTCTTCCAATCCCAGTTTGTATGAGAAAGCCACCTCTCTTTCTAAGGCTTGGAAAAAATAATTTAAACAAAACTGGTCTGTCCAAACCCATTGATACAGGTGTTCAACCATAAGAAAAGGACTTACAGTAAGAGTTTGGATGGGGGAATGAATGAAGTAGGGCCCCTGGTTTACTTTATTCCTCATATAAATTCTGGTTTTCCATCAGTTGTCCAGATAAGCTCTTTTCCGGGGAGCAGATGGAGTCATTGGCAGGAGTGGAAGATAGTGGAAAGCAAAGTATCCAGGGTAAGAAATAGGATAGTAGGGAAACAGGAAAACATGAGCAAAGATAGCCGAAGCCTCCCACTTTGAAGGAAAGCTGGTATGTTAGCCCGTATCGTCTTAGTATGGGAATGGGGGGCTGGTACAGACTCATCAAAGCTCTTTAGCTCTCAGTATAAAGGGCAAATGTGAAGGATTGATGATGAGGTGTGCAGATGAACACTAGTAACCCAGGGGTTCACAGTCTTATTCCTTAAATGATAAAGTAGTACTGTAAATACATACTTAGGTTTTGTGGCCATAGGGTCTCTGCTAGGATTTATTCACCTCTGCCATTGTGTTGTGAAAGCAGCCATGGTGTCTTGTAACTGAATGAATAAGGCTGCATTCAGATAAAAGTGCACTTACAAAAACAGTGCACCAGCCATATTTGACCTGCAAGCAGTATATGCTGACCCCTGAGCTACAGGGCAGTGAAGCTGGCAGACACACCTTCAAAGGACAGGGAGTTTTTCTTGAAGGTAAATGTATAATGGCATGGACTGCTTTTAGGAGCTAGAGGAATGCTGCGTTCTTCCATCAACTCACCTCCCTTTAGCCTTTTAATGTTTGAACCATGGGAAGGAGAGAGGGCATAGCGGAAAAGTTGAACATGTTAAGTACTTAGGATGGTGGATGCGAATTGTGTAGAAGTTGAATTAAAAACAGCTATGGGTTCTGGCCTGGAGGCTCATTTGGTTGGAGCATTGTCCCATGCACCAGAAGCTTGTGGGTTTGATCCCCAGTCAGGTCATGTGCAGGAGGCAACCAATCGATATTTCTCTCACCCTTCCTGTCTAAAATCAATAAACATCCTGTCAGGATTTTTAAAAAAAACAGCTCTGGAATGTGGATGATTGGGTAGCTAACTGTTTAGAATGTATGGCTATACATTTCAGTTTGTTACCCCAGGTTAGCTGCTAGCTGGTTAGTTTTGTTTGACTTCTCAGTCTTACCAGCTCTCTCATAAATATATGATTATGGGAATTTAGAGCAAGAAAGTAAACTGGTCAGTTCAAATCTATATCTAAAACTAGAGAAACTGCTGAAAATCCTTGAATAGGCTTAAAACTACTATATTAAAAAGTTAATTTTTCCACTTGCGTTAAGGTTCAATTCAATAATACTTTTAATGTTTTAGTTATCACGGCATAGCGTTCAAACCAGAATGGTACTTGCACTCAGAATAATAATTTTGAATATTAATTTTGCCTATTCTGTTTTTCTATAGGCACGATAACTTGCCTGAAATTCCATGGCAACAGGCACTTAATTAGTGGGGCGGAAGATGGGCTTATCTGTGTCTGGGATGCAAAGAAATGGGAGTGCCTGAAGTCAATTAAGGCACACAAGTGAGTCTCGCCCTTCTCGGTGGTGGTCTCCAGGTGCCAGTCAACTTGGGGGCTAACTGTTGATTTCCTTTTAGAGGACCTGTGACCTTTTTTTCTATTCACCCATCTGGCAAGTTGGCCCTGTCAGTGGGTACAGATAAGACATTAAGGTAAGTCATAATGCTCAACAGCATCTTTACTTCAGTTGTGATCTTTCTTCTTCAAGTATAACAGGAACCCACCTGTGATACAAGGAAAGGTTGAAAGCTAGTGAAGAACCTTTTTTGTAATAATAGGAAAAAAACGACAAGCTTTGTATGGAAACATACACATTAGATTTCAGTTAACGTAAGCTGTAAAGTGTTTTATGATGTGAAATCTTTTGCAAATACATTAAAGATATTAAAGGGAAGTGGGAATAACCCTTTAACAAGTTAATCTTGAGAATAAATATTCTAGCTGTTGCTATAGGAAAGACAGCAGTTCTGAGTAGCCATGTATTTAGTAAATTGACATTTGAGTGAGTTGTCTTTATGCTTACTTTAAAGCCTCATAAAAGGTTTGTGACTATGCCATAAGTGAACTTCTTGTTTTGTAGAACATGGAATCTTGTGGAAGGAAGATCAGCATTCATAAAAAATATAAAACAAAGTGAGTATTTTTATTTGGAATGTTTTATGACAACTTGGAAGAATATGAATACACACATACTCATGTGCGTGCATGCACACATTTATTTGCCTGCATGATGGTGGTTACCTCTGAGAGCAAAGGCTTTGGGTTACTTTCTTCTTTCTTGTTAGTTTGATCAGCCCTATAATCTTTAGTGATTCTTTGAACCCAGTTTATTGTCTAAAATTAAACTTGCAAAATATGTGTGAAAATGTGCAATATAAATATTTGGTATTTTTAGTATTCTGATTATTTTTTATTTATGAAACGAAAAATTTTGTTTAACTTACAGATGCTCACATAGTGGAATGGTCCCCAAAAGGAGAGAAATATATAGTTGTCGTACTAAATAAAATAGATGTCTATCGTCTTGACACAGCATCTGTTACTGGCACTATCACAAATGAAAAGAGAGTATCTTCTGTTACATTTCTTTCTGTAAGTGATCAGAAATGAGTGATGTAAATTTAGTGTGTATATGATGATAGGAATTGTTTGATATTCTGGATTACTCATTCTTTTTCTCTCTCTTAGGAGTCTGTCCTTGCAGTGGGTGGAGATGAAGAAGTTGTAAGGTTTTTTGATACTGATTCATTAATGTGTCTCTGTGAATTTAAAGCTCATGAAAACAGGTATTTTTTTTGTTTTACCAGTTTGTGGTGTATATGGGTACAGTCTCAAATGTCATGTGCAGTAGTTTGACTATAGCAGCATATATGTTTTTATAAACAGTTGCAGAGATAGACACCTGCATATATAGACTCCACCTGTCTGGAGTCTAAGAGGGTGGTGAAAAGGTCTTGGCCTCAGTAAGTACAAAAGTGGCCAAGTTGTCGTCAGGACTAGTCATATCTACAAAATACAGTTCCAATAATTTCATTAGTCTTGGGGCCTGAAGTGAACCATATTTGAATGGGGGGATAAAATTAAACAGTCTTCAGCTTTGCTTCTGACTGCTCTTGCCTTTTACTTTATTCTCCTTGTCTGCTTTTCCCCCTTTTATTACTGCATTTGCCTTTCCTTTAGAAGAAATACAGGACATTATAGACTTCTGTTTTGTGCCAGTCTCTGTTACCTCTTACTGCTCTCTGTTTCTAGGGGTACACCGAAGTCTCAGTACATTGTTAAGTGATTTTGCAAGGATGATCCCACTGTTAGCCAACAGAGCTGAAATTCAGATCAGTTCTGTCTGACTCTGCCCCTGCTTTTTCCACTCTAATTTTGAAAAAGGTGAAAATGTAAAGAGTTATACTTGAGTGTGTTTCATTTGCGTGCTGTACATCTTAAGTAAGTTTTAATTATTATTTTCTAAATAGGTTTTAAGAAATCTCTCTTTGTAAACATAATACAGCAATCGCTGTACATATCTAGTTAACGTTATTAGGGAAGGGGGAGTGGTACCCCAGAGATAAAAAAGCAACTGTTCTTAAAAAGAAGAGAGAGCTTTAGGCACACTGGCTCTGGGAGAGGAAAGTGCTGGGTGCATTTCAGGAACCGAAGACCTGTGTTAATAGATTAAAGTGAGCCAAAATAGACTTCTGCCAAGATGGAGGCGTAAGTGGAAACACTTTGCTTCCTTGCACAACCAAATCCAAAAACAGCAAAATTTTAACAATCATAAATGCAACCAAACCACAGAAAATTGAACAATACAGAGTCTGAAAATAATGAACTGCTCAGCTAAACCGGTGAGAGGGGTGAAGCCAGCAGTGGAGCAGGTCCGGCAGAAAGGGTCCCCCGACCCAGGTGGCTGGCAAGCAGCCGAGGGCGCGGATCCCAGGTGCGGGGTAGCTGTGGGAAGGCACGGCACGGCTGGCTGTCTGAGGTCATGCATTTGCGCCCAGATAAACCAGTCAAGGGACGTGCATTGAGACAGACTGCGCAGGCCCCGGCGCAGGGCGGCGGCTCACACATTTGCGCTCAGATAAACAGGCGGGGGAAGTGGTGAGGCGGACGGAGGAGCAGAGAGGACCGCCATTGCTCCCTCTCTGACCCCACCCCCACATACAGCATCACAAACCAGCCACCTGGGGTCCCCACCCTAGTGAACACCTAAGGCTCCATCCCTCATATGTAACAGATGCAAACAGACCAAAACATTATGGCTCAAGAACAGCTCAGATTCTCAGAACCAATAATTCTAAGTGACCAAGACATAGCCAAACTTTCAGATGCACAATTCAAAACACTGGTCATCAAGATGCTGACAGAACTGGTTGATTTTAGTCACACATTAGAGGAACATTTGAAGGCTAAACTAATTGAAATGAATGGAAATGCACAGGAAACCAATAGTAATGGAAAGGAAACTGGGACTCAAATCAAGGGAGCAGACCAGAAGGAAGAAAAAAATGACCAAACAGAAAAGAATGAAGAAACAAGCATTCAAAAACATGAGGAGAGGCTTAGGAACCTCCAGGACATCTTTAAATGCTCCAACATCCAAATTATAGGGGTACCAGAAGGGGAAGAGGAACAGCCACAAGTGGAACACTTATTTGAACAAATAATAAAAGAGAACTTCCCCATTCTGGCAAAGGAAATAGACTTCCAGGAAATCCAGGAAGCTTAGAGGGTCCCAAAGAAGTTGGACCCAAGAAGGAACACACCAAGGCACATCATCATTACATTAGCCAAGATTCAAATGAAGGAGAGAATCCTAGAAGCAGCAAGAGATAAGGGGACAGTCACCTACAAAGGAGTTCCCATCAGACTGTCAGCAGATTTCTCAAAAGAGACCTTACAGGCAAGAAGGGGCTGGAAAGAGGTATTCCAAGTCATGAAATCCAAAGACCTACAACCAAGATTGCTCTATCCAGCAAAGCTTTCATTTAAAATGGAAGGACAGTTAAAGTGCTTCTCAGATAAGATCAAATTCAAGGAGTTCATCATCACCAAGCCCTTATTATATGCAATGTTAAAGGGACTTACCTAAGAAAAAGAAGATTAAAAAGATGAACAATGAAAGGACAGCAAACTCACAGTTACTAAGAACCACACCTAAAACAAAAGCAAATTAAGAGGACAGCTAGATCAGGAGTGAACCATAGAAATGAAGATCACATGGAGGGTTAGCAACAGGGGAGTGGGAGAAGGAGAAGTGGGGAGAAGATACAGAAAATAAGTAGCATAGACGGTAGGTAGAAAATAGATAGGGGGGAGGGTAAGAATAGTAGGGGAAATATAGAATCTAAAGAATTTGAGACGTGTTCATGAACTAAAGGCAGGGAATGGTGGGGGAGGGGTGTTCAGGGTGGAGGGGAATGAAGGGGGGAAATAGAACAAATGTAATGGCATGATCAATAAAATTAAAAAATATATTAAAAAATATATTAATAAATAAAAGTGAGCCAAATGGTACATTGCCTTGTGGGCTGTAGTGAAAAGTTTTGGTTTTATATTAAATGCCTTTGTAGATTCTGTTGTGTTAATTTCTTATGAAAAAATTTAAAGGCAGATAGACCAGTTTAAGAAAGCAGCTCCTATAGACCCACTACCCAGCTTCAGCAGTTGTCAATTTATGGTCAGTCTTGCTTCTTAAATATTCCTAGTCACTTCCTCCTTTCCTGTGTTATTCCAATGCAAATCCTAGCTTCGTAGAATGTTAAGCCTGGGAGTAACATGTTTTGATTAACACTTAAACAGTTGTTAGGGGGCAAAAATGGAAGCATAGAGACCAATTATAGTACTTCATAACTCACAAAAGTGATGGTAGCTTTGACTAGGATCAGTGGCACTGGGATGAGAGGAATGCATGTATCGGAGGAAGCCTCTATTCATCTTTTTGTCTTTTCTTTCTGTACTAAACTTATATTTTCTTGAGGTGAGGGGCTTTAAGTATATTGCCTTTGTGTTAATCTGATTATAATATCATTATCATCATCATTTTTTCAACTTTTTAAAAGGTGTAGTTAATAGTTTTATCTTAAAACTTAGACTCTGAAAAATGGCTCACTGACTTCATGAGAAGTGAAGCACAGTTACTGAAAAATCAAGAGCCTGTGTGCATAGAAGCTTATTACAGTATCGTGCTATTTGAAGAAAAGATCATTTACGGTGTTAATATTTCTGTTCAAGGGTAAAAGACATGTTCAGTTTTGAAATTCCAGAGCATCATGTTATTGTTACAGCATCAAGTGATGGTTTCATCAAAATGTGGAAGCTTAAACAGGACAAGGTCAGTGTCTTAGCATAGTATCAGTACACTCTGATGCGGTCGTACTATCAGTATTGCCTTGAGTTAAGTGAGATGGAATTCTTTCTTAAGGGGCATAGTCAGAGATCTCGAAACAAGTGCTTTAAAAATCTTTCAGGTGTGATTGATATTCATGATTTTAAAGTTAGGGTTCCACAGAGCTGCCTTGGGTTGGCATTGGTGAATCTGAGCTGTCAGGATCTCAGAACTCCTGTTTTTTCAGAGAGGTTCTACTTCTTTTTTGTATATTGATGTTCTTTGTAATATTTTGTTAGGTAAAATAGTGCCATTACTAAAAAAAAAAAAAAAAAAAAGATAACAATTGGAAATTACTGATTAACTGTGGAACCAACAGTGGTTTTGAACCAGATAATTGGAATATTAAATTCCCTTTGATAGTATCCCTCTCCTAGATAGTCTTGTTTATCCTGCGAATACGGCATGTTAAATGCTTACTTTGTTAACACCTAGAAATGAATAAGACATGGTCCCTTTCCTTAGTGAATTTACAGTTTCTGAGTAATCAGAAATTGGCTCTGTGAAGGACATAGCCAGGAATCAGATAATAGATTTCTTCTAAACAGCATATCTTATTCTCAAGAAAACACAGTGTTGTAAGTTAAGGAGTTGATTATAGAAAAAGAAAATTAATTATTTAAAATTCTCCTATGTTGTCATGAATTTTTCTTGCTTGTTTTAGAAAGTTCCCCCATCTCTACTTTGTGAAGTGGACACTAAGGCCAGGCTAACCTGTCTTGGAGTGTGGCTAGACAGCGCGACAGACCTGAAAGAAAGCCTTCCTCCAGCTGCAGAGCCTTCTCTAGGTAAATGAAATTGGTCATTTTAAAAAATTAAATAATCTGTTACCTCATGAATTATTGAAGTGAAGGAGACCCAGATAACTTCACTTTATATTGTCAGCCTGTGATTCTTTTTCAGGGGGGAGAAACAATCTTATATACACTGTCTTGTGTTTTAGTAAGTAAAGAACAGTCCAAAAGCATCAAAAAGGAATCTGGCGGTGTAGCGCAGGAAGAAGGAAGGCAGCCAGAACCCGGCATGAAGAAATGTGCTTTCACTGCTGTGAAGAAGCAGCCAACAAAAGGGAGTGGCCTGGGGTCAGCCAAGAAGAGGAAAATGGTGGAAACGTTGGAAAAGAAGAGAAAAAAGAAGAAAATATGAATAATGCAGTGAATTCAGATTTCTAAGAAAAAAACTTAGAATCATTCTTTTCAAATGTACCTAATTTTTTCTGCCAAGTAAAAACTAGGAATTTTCTCTTTTGGAGAAAATGTATAGCTTAAAAAAAATCACTCAGTCACTTTTGGTTTTTGTTTTTAAACAGTAGCAAAACTTTTTAGTAGGCAGTATATATTATGGTATATATTATGTTAATGTGTAATAGAATTTTTACTGTTGTGTAAAGCAAATAAAGGTCTTTCTCAAAATAATGTAATATAAGGTAATACAAAAATCTTGAACACAGTCTTTACCAGGGGTACATAAGAAAGTTTAAGGTCAGGGAAAATGACATTTCTTTTTTTTGTCCATTTCAAGCCATAAAAAAATTCCTGTAGCTAATCTAACAGGTAGATTTAAAATCAGCCCGTTGATTATACTGTCATCATCTCTTACCTTCTTTCCTCATAGATTACTGGATGTTTTGAAAAGATGATTTGATATAGAGGATTTATGGGTTTTACTTAGGTGGGCCTATGTTGAATCCCTCCTGATTTGGCAAAATCAGGTGTCTGACAGTCAGACACTGGAAATGCCCCTTTCTTCAGAGGAGGGAATCATTTAGGAAATGAACCAAATCATGTGTCAGATGTTCCAGTGCACCTCTTAGTTAACTTACTTAGGCCTGTAAACAAGGATGAAGGTAGGTTTGTTTTTTGTTTTGTTTTCGAGACTGTTTTCTTAAGAGTAGTTCTGGGGTTATAAAATTGAGAGGGACTTTCAACAGAGACTTTCCAGTGCCCCTGCAGCCCCTGCCATTTCAGCATTGCTCACAAGAATGGCACATTTTTACTGAGGATGAACTTACATTGACACATCATCGAGTTTAACTTTGGGAATCACTTTTTAAAAAATCCTCAACTGAGGGCACCCTCTTAATTGCTTTTAGAGAGAGGAAGGGTGAGAGATACTGACGCAAGAGAGAAGCATCAATTGATTGCCTCCCATCTGTGATCTGACCAGATATCATCCGTACCCAGGCTGAGGATCAAACCTGCAACTTAGGCATGTACCCCAGCTGGGAATTGACCTGCAACCTTTTGGTTACAGTACCACGCTCCAGCCAACTGAGCCATACCAACCAGTGCAGGGGATTACTTTTGGTGTATATTCTATAGGTTTGGACAAATATTTAACGACATTTACTGAATATTTTCATTGCCCTAAAACAGTTTTGCCCATTCATTTTTTTCCATATCTGACAATCACTGATCTTTTTCTGTGTCTCCATAGTTTTGCCTTTTCCATAATGTGATACAGTTAGAATCATACAATATCATAGCTTTTTTGATTGGCCTCTTCCATTTAGTAATATGCATTTAAGTTTCCTTCATATCTTTTTTTATTGCTTGATAGCTCTTTTTATTTAAAAAAAAATTCTTTGACTTCTGGCCAAGATGGAGGCGTAGGTGAAAATGCTGAGCCTCCTTGCACAACCAAGTTTAAAGACAACAAAGTTTTATTAACAAAAATGCAGCCAAAACACAGAAAATTGAACTGTACAGAAGTCTGGCAAACAACAAACCATTCACCAGACTGGTAAGGGGCGGAGTCAGCAGCAGAGCCAGGTCAGGAAAGATCAACCGGACTGACCCAGGAGTGCAAGCCGTGGTTGGTGGATTCCAGGAGTGGGGCGGAGCCCAGTGAGGGCTCAGGGCGGTTGGCTGACTGCTCACCCATTCAAGCACAGATAAACCAAGTGAAGGAGTGAATAGTGGGACACACCATGCAGGCTAGGGTCCAGCTACAGGATTCAGAGCCTGAGAGCACCAATTGGAAAGACTTTTGGGGTTGAGGTGCCGGGAGAGTTCGTTGGAGAGACCCACAGGGTTTTGGAGGGTACACAAGCCCACACACCTGGGAACCAGCACCAGAAGGGTGGGAAGTGGTAGAGGGGAGAAATCTGAGAGAGCACGACAAATACCATTGCCCCTCTCTGACCCCTTCCCCACATACAGCGCCACAACCCAGTGACCTGGGTGGCCCCACCCTGGTGAACATCTATGGCTCCATCCCTCATATGTAACAGGTACAAACAGACCAAAACTATGGCTCAAGAACAGCTCAGATTCTCAGAACCAATAATTCTAAGTGACCAAGAGATAGCCAAACTTTCAGACGCACAGTTCAAAACACTGGTGATCAGGATGCTCACTGAACTGGTTAATTTTGGTTGCAAATTAGGTGAAAAAAATGAAGGCTATGGCAAGTGAAATAAAGGAAAATGCACAGGGATCCAATAGTGATGGGAAGAAAACTGGGACTCAAACCAAGGCAGTGGACCAGAAGGAAGAAAAAAATGACCAAACAGAAAAGAATGAAGAAACAATTCAAAAAAATGAGAGGCTAAGAAACCACCAGGACATCTTTAAATGTTCCAACATCTGAATTATAGGGGTACCAGAAGGGGAAGAGGAACAGCCACAAGTGGAACACTTATTTGAACAAATGATAAAGGAGAATTTCCCTGATCTGGCCAAGGAAATAGACTTCCAGGAAATCCAGGAAGCTCAGAGAGTCCCAAAGTTGGACCCAAGAAGGAACACACCAAGGCATATCATCATTACATTAGTCAAGATTATAATGAAGGAGAGAATCCTAGAAGCAGCAAGAGATAAGGGGACAGTCACCTACAAAGAAGTTCCTATCAGACTGTCAGCTGATTTCTCAAAAGAGATCTTACAGGCAAGAAGGGGCTGAAAAGCATTCCAAGTCATGAAATCCAACGACCTATGACCAAGATTGCTCTATCCAGCAAAGCTTTCATTTAGAATGGAAAGGCAGATAAAGTGCTTCTCAGATAAGATCAAATTCAAGGAGTTCATCATCACCAAGCCCTTATTATATGAAATGTTAAAGGGACTTACCTAAGAAAAAGAAGATAAAAAGATGAACAGTGAAAGGACAGCAAACTCACAGTTATTAACAACCACACCTAAAACAAAAGCAAACTAAGGACAGCTAGATCAGGAGTAGAACCATAGAAATGGAGATCACATGGAAGGTTAACAACAGGGGAGAGGGGAAAAGGTACAGAGAATAAGTAGCATAGATGGTAGGTAGAAAATAGACGGGGGGGGGGCAAGAATAATATGGGAAATATAGAATCTAAAGAATTTGTGACACATGGACAAACGAAAAGGGGAATGGTGGGAGAGGGTTGTGCAGGTTGGAGGGGAATGAAGGGGGGAAATGTGACAACTGTAATGGCATAATCAATAAAATATATTTTAAAAAATTAAAAAATTCTTTTTGAAGATTTTATTTCTTTTTAGAGAGAGGGGAGGGAGGGAAAGAAACATTGTTTGGTTGCCTCTAACATGCCCCCAGCCAGGGACCTAGCCTGCAACCCATGCCTGTGCCCTGATTGGGAATTGAACCAGCAATCTTTTGTTTTGCAGGCTGATGCTCAGTTCACAGAGCCACATGAGCCATGACAGCTCATTTCTTTTTGGTGTAATGATATTCTACTGTCTTACATAAGCACCACAGTTTACTGTTCACGTGCTGGAGGACGTCTTGCTTCCAAGTTTTGCCAATTATGAATAAAGTTGCTCTATTCACATGCTGGTTTTGGGTGGACATGTTTTCAACTTACTTGGGTAAATAGGAACATAACATGATTGCTGCACTGTATGGTAAGAGTGTGTTTAGTTTTTGTAAGAAACTGCCAAACTGTCTTCCAAAGTGGCTGTACCATTTTCCCACCAGCAAAGTGAGAGGCTATTGCTCCACATCCTCACTGGTGTTAGGATCTGACAGTGTTCCAGACAGTGTTCCAGATTCTGTCCAGGCTAGTAGGTATGTAGCAGCGGTATATCCTTGATTTAATTTGCATTTCCCCAATAACATGATTTGGCACCTCTTCATATGCTTACTTGCCATCGGTGTATCTTTGGTGAGGTGTCTAGAGGTCTTTGGCCCATTTTTCAATCTGATTGTTTTCCCACTGAGTTTTAAAAGTTAATTGTACATTTAGGGTAATGATCCTTTATCAGATGTGTCTTGCAAATATTTTCTCCCCATCTGTGGATTGTCTTCTCATAGTATCTTGTAGAGCAGAAGTTTTTAATGAACTCTGGCTTATCAGGTTTTTTTCATGGATTATATCTAAAAACCCTACACCCAAGGGCATCTAGGTTTTTTCCTGTGTTACCTTATAGGAGTATTATAGTTCTGCATTTCCATTGAGATCTACAATTCATTCTGAGTTAATTTTTGTGGAAGGTTTTTGTGTATAGATTTTTTTTTGCATGTTTTTGTCATCATTTGTCAGATTCTTTGCTTCATGGTGTTGCCTTTGTCAAAGGTCAGTCAGCTCTGTTTGTGGTGTTCTGTTCGTGGACTCTATTCAGCTCCATTGACCTATTTGTCTATTCTTTTGCCAGTGCTACACTATCTTGATTATTACAGCTTTACTGTAAGTCTTAATGTCAGGTAGCATCAGTTCGCCAACTTTGTTCCTCAATATTGTTTGCTATTCGGGATCTTTTGCCCCTCCATGTAAACTTCACAATCAGATTGTTGATATATTGTGGGGGCAACTTTGCCAGCAAATCCCCCCATCTGCCACGGATGAAAGTAACACTACCAAGACATGATCTGCTTGGGGAGGAGAGGTGGCCAATCTCTCAGGGGGAAAAGGCCAGGAGCCCCTTCCTCCAGGGGATTTTATTGGGTTGCAATACACAGGAATACAGGCAGCAAGGATCAAACAATAGATAACATTTCAAAGAAATCTGAGGGCTTAGTCTGAGTCAGTGTCTGTCAGGAAAGGGGTTTGCAGAAACTTTGGGAGACATACTCATTTCCTCTATAACCCTTATCATATGAATGAAAGCACTCTTAGCAAAGCAGGCTTAACAAGACTTTTAGGAATTCTTACTTATGCCCCATTACCCCAGATCCCACTCTAGCCACGCAAGGGGCTGCACTACCTCCCCCATCACAGGTTTTCAGGCTTAAGTGGATTAGAACCAGGAAGCACTTCTCCCAGAGGACATGGAGACTGGGCTGTCAGAATAGCCAGAAGGCGATGTCCATCACTCCCTCTTGTAGCCCCCCCAGGTCCTTCCATGATGGCCTCCCAAGTGATCTTGTCTGGCTTAGGTTGCCCCCCACTCTGAGGGGTCATACCCATCTCTGACTAACCGACCAAGCACTGGGGCAGGGTAAAAATCAGAAGCAGCGCTGCTGCCAGAGACAAGTTTGGTCTCCTTAGTGGCTTGCATTCCGGAGGTCGCTCACTCAGTCTTAGCCATGGGAGGGCAGTTACAACTGAAACCAGGCAGAGCAGTTCCCAAAAATATACATAAAATAACTTGGGATTTTGATTGGGATTGCATTGAGTCTGTAGATCAATTTAAGAATTGAGGACTTCTGCCAAGATGGAGGTATAGGTGGATGTGCCGTACCTTCTCACACAACCAAGTTTAGGACAACTAAATATTAGCATCAGAAAACACAACCAGAACACGGAAAACTGAACTTTTCGGAAGTCCGCTAACAACAAATTCTTCAGCCCGACCGGTAAGGGGCGAAACCGGCGTCTGGTGAGGAGTTGCAAAGGAGGGATCGGTTGGACCCGGGCGCGGAATCCAGACGCGCGAATCCGGACGCGCAGGATTGGACCTGGTGAGCGACCGAGTGACCCACCGGGTGAGCGACTGCAGAGGAGACAGTGGGGAGGCGGTGCAGCGTGTTGACTGCGGTTGCCTGATTGCGCGCGCGAGCGAGGGAGTGGGCGGTTGGACCGGCCGCGGCTGCGATAGAGGGTGCCGCCATTTCCCCATTCTGACCACGCCCCCACATACAGCGTCTCAACCCAGCGACCTGGGAGTCCAAGGCGCCACTTCTCACATTTAAAGGGCCAGAACAGACCAAAAATGTCGCAGGAAGACCTCAAAGCCCCAGAGATAAATCTAAGCGACGAAGAAATAGCAAAACTCTCAGACGCACAGTTTAAAACACTGGTCATCAGCTTCCTCACAGATCTGGTTGATTATAGCCACAAATTAGAGAAACATATGAAGGCTAAATTAAGGGGAAATGAATGGAATTCCACAGGAAACCCATAGAGATGAAAAGGAAACTGGGACTCAAATCAATGCAGTGGACCAGAAGAAACCAAATAATGGCCAAACAGAAAAGAGTCAAGGAGCAAGAATTCAAAGAAATGAGGAGAGTCTTAGGAACCTCCAGGACATCTTTAAACGCTCCAATATCCGAATTATAGGGGTACCAGAAGGGGGAAAGACACAACCACCAGTGGAAAAATGATTTGAACAAATAATAAAAGAAAATTTCCCCAATCTGGCAAAGGAAATAGACTTCCAAGAAATCCAAGAAGCTCA